CCAAGAATTCATCTAAATTAGGAGGAGGAAAAGTTGTTTTTTCTTTGTAACTGGTTGAGTATAGAATACATTATCATGCTCTTGAAGAAGAAAAGTTTTGGTATTTCTTTTTCCCATAAAATCCTCACAGAAGGACCATAATAATTTATTTACATATCTTTACTCAACAAACATATACGAAGTATGATTGAAAGACACAGTGAATGTTTAAATTTAAGAATTTTTTACAGACACATTGCTGTTTGCCAGAGACCCCTTATAGTCAGGTTCCAGTACCCACCTACCCAATGTGTGATGCAGGCCTGAGAAAAAGAATACACTAGGAGACAGAACTAGGAGAGAGAAAGTGGGGTGCCAGGATGACCAATGCTGGTGCAACCAGTAAAGGCGCTGGACAGTCCCAGGCACTGACCTTTATTGGCAATCAATTGGGGTAAAGGCAATGTTTGGTTTCTTTGGAAATTAATGTAAACAGCTCATAAAGGACAAGACAAAGCATTCTCAAATTAGGAACAGAATAGACAAGATACATGATTGTAATTGGAACAGTGACCTTCTAGTTGGAAGGTTTTAGTTGTGGGAACGGAATTTGGGTGCGAGTTACTCTGACCTCAGCACATGGCCTTCAGCCAGACTCACTTCTCAAAACAAGCCAGTTGTGGGGTTAACTCTTCACAGCCTGCTTTGGGCATAATCAGTATTATAGTCATCTGCAGCTGTTAATCCCTCAAAGTACTCCTCCTTGCTTCAAACACACTTATCCCATCATTCTTGGCACTTTCTGAAGCAGTTCTGGAAGTCCTCTTTCATGAGTGTCTTTAGCTGTCTTGTTGTGGCTCTATATTTTGATCACCCCTTGTAGGTACCAGGTATTAGCTGCCAAGGCTAATTGCTTTACAAGTGTTAGCTAATTTAAATCATCCCCCCTAAAAAGCCATGAAGTAAACATTGTATCATTCCCACTTTGCAAAAGAAATAGTAAATTTAGAAGGTGAAATGACTTGGCCAAAGATCCATGGCTGGTGAGTGGTGGGAACCTGATGCTTCCACGTTCCATCTGTTTCCCATGCATTTGCAGAAAATCAAAATCAAGAAAATTCAGACTTAATTTGCAGCAAAATGTAGAGAACTGGAGGACATTATTCACATGTTTACTCTTATATGTGGAAGTTAAAAAAAAAGTGAATGTAAGATAGTGATTACTTGAGAGTGAGGAGGGGGATAAAAGAAGGCTGGATTTGATTAGTGTATGCACACTGTATGCAGATGTAGAAATAGCACAGTGATCTCCTTTAATAGATACAGATAATACAAGTGTATTAAAAATAAAATCCTTTGCACTGCAAATAAAAAATAAAGGGACTAGAGGTATGTCTCAGTAATAGAGCTCTTGCCTACCATGATTGAGGTCCTGGATCCAATCCCCAGCACAGCAAAAATTAAAATTAAAAATAGATGAAAGTTGGAGCCAGAAAAAAAAGTGAATCAAGAGATCCAATAAAATAGAATTCCAAGGGGCCGGGAACTTAGCTCAGTGGTGCTATTACCTGCCTTGCAAGTGCAAGGTTCTGAGTCCGATCCCTGGTACCCCCCCCAAAAAAATCTACCTAATAAATTATCAACCTCAGTATGTACAATTCAATGGCATTTAGTCTATTCACAATGTGGTAGAGCCGTTACATACCTTTATCAAGTTCCAGGACATTTTCATCATTCTAGTTAACCAGTCGCTCCTAGTTCCCCCTTCCCTCATCTTCTTTCAGCAGTTAGACTCATGTTATCCCTGTGGGATTTGCTGAGATTCCTAGAGCTACCATATGATATTTTTACCAATATGGAGGAAATGTTCAACTTTTATATCCTCAGATTATTTTTCTGCTCCATTTCTTTCTTCTTTTTCTCTGATACTTTCATTTTACATAATGTACCATTTGATACTCTTGTTTTTAATCAGTTTTTCTGTATGTTCTTCAGTCTGAATAATTTGTCATTTTTATCTTCACATTCATGATTTCTTTTCTGTAATGTCTAATCTTTTGAGCTCAACTAATAAAATTTTATTTTAGATATTATACTGTGCATTTCTAAAATTTTTATTTGGTTTTCTTTTTTTGTAACACTTGTTACATTTTTCTGCTGAGATTCCCTATCTGCTCATTCATCATGCCCATCTTTAGGCCACTAGGCAATTTATTCTCACTGTTTAAGTACTTGGCTGGAGTTCTGATTTCCCATCCAGTATGTAGGAGACTTGAAAGTCATCACCCCATCTAACAGTAAGAAAAGAACAGACAAACTGAAAATTAGTGGCTTTCCGTGGATCTAACACAGAAAGGTATCATAGGCAAAGTGCCATCCCAGAGTTGGAGATTCAGATGCCTAGGAGAGCTAGAGTAGGAAAAATGAAACTGTAAGTGATGGATTTCTAGAGATTTGGTGTGAACAGACTTGAATTTAAAACTCTGGGGTAGGAGTATTGAGGTGATCCTTGTACTTTTGTGAGTTTTACTTCCAAAAGCCCTATCAAGTTATCACAGTGAAAATGAAGGGAAATCTCCTCTTGCTTCTAGTTGGGGATGGGAGAAATGTATCCATTTGAAATGCACCCGTAACATTCTGTCCTTAGCATGTCTCCATAGAAACTGTCTTACCAGAGCCTGACTGACCTGAAGGAAAGGAAATAGCCAACTGCTCTCTCTAGCCTTCCATGTGGGAGAAGGAAAGTACTCAACTTATATGCTAATAGGGAATCGCACATTAAAATAAGACACCACTGTACATCCAAAAGAATCGTTGAAATCTAAAACACTGATAAAAAAAAAATTTAAAAACAGAAACATGGACCACACCAGATGTTGGCAAGAGGTGAAACAACATTCTCATTCACTGCTGATATGAATGCAGAATGAGATTGCCACTGTGGAAGACAATTTCACGGTTTCTTACAAACTGAATATACTCACCATACCATCCACCTGTCATGCTTTTTAGTATTTACTCAGCTGAGTTCAAAACTTAGGTCCAAGACAAAACCTGCACATGGTTGTTTGTAACAGCCATTTTCAAACTTTTTACTAAAATTTGGAAGCATCTGAGATATCCTTCGATAGGTGATTAATTAAACAAACTTGCACACCCATGCAATAGAATGTTATTTAGTGATAAGAAGAAATGATTAAGCCATAACGAGACATGGAGAGACCTTGAAAGCCTATTATCTGAAATAAGTCAGTCTGAAAGACTGCCTGTGCTATGATTCCAACTTTATAACATTCTAGAAAAAAGGAAAACTGTGGTAACAGTAAAGATATCAGTGGGTGCCAGAGGTTTAGAGGGATGAAAGGAAGGAATGAAGAGGTGGGGGAGAGGTTACTTGAAAGTTGTCCATTGCTTTCTGATTATTAATTTCTGTAAACCCTAAAACTGCTCTAAAAAAATAAAGTAGAAAAAAATAGAGACCAGCATGGTAGTGCATGCTTGTGATCCCAGCTACTGAAAAGGCTGAGGCAGGAGGGTTACAAGTTCCAGGCCAGAGCAACTTCGCAAGACCTTGTCTCAAAGTGCTAGGGATGTAGCTCAGTAGTAGAGCACTTGCCTAGGACTTGTGAGGTCCTGGGTTCCATCTCCAGGATAACACACACACACACACACACACACACACACACACACACACTACTATTCTAACACCTGAATCATTTTGGTATCATTTCTACTTCCTAATTTTGAATTATGATTTCCTGTTTCTTTGCATATCTGATACATGTTCTTCGATGCTTAAAATAGTTTCTTTGTGTTTTTATTCAGTTTTGTTTTGTTTTGTTTTTTGAGACAGGTCTCACTGTGTTGCCCAGGCTAGTCTCAAGCTCCTGAGCCCAAATGATCTTCCTGCTTCCGCCTCGAAAGTAGCGAGGACTATAGGCATCTTCCACTGCACTTGGCTTTGATCCAGTTTTATATCTGTTTTCATAAAAAGAGCAATATGTCAGTTTCTTTGCCATGGAGTAATAATAAGTTAAAATAGAAATTTTCAACCATGGCTGTTTGTTAGAATCACCTGGGGAACTTTAAAATTACCAGTGCTGATATGAGGTCAAAGCTTCATAATTTTTCTTACTGTTTCTAAGTAATTAACAAAATTGGACTGTTCTAAATTAAAGGCCATTCTGAAAGAGTGGAAACTGAAACTTGGCCTTTCCTCTTTGGATACCAGTTGCATCTACCTGTGGAAAGAATGCTTTTGAAATTTGTGCTTAAGAGCTGCCAAGGGGGCCAGGAATTTAGCTCAGTGGTTCTGGTGCCTGCCTCACAAGCACAAGGTCCCGAGTTCGATCCCTGATACCAAAAAAAAAAGAGCTGCCATGTAGATTAGCAGGACCTAGGTTGTAATGTATAGCCACTGTTTTCCAGGGAGGAGGCTAGTGGATCAGTGAATTCTTACTAACTTTCACAGAGATTTAAAAATTATAAAATGTTATTTTCAACAGTGTGGATGCAATTTATGCCCTAGAAGAAGGAAAGAGTTATAACGAAATAGTATAGCCATTTTTCCCATTTATAGAACCTCTGGAATATTACCTGTTCAAAACATGGAAGTTTGCATGCTTAAGAAGTTATACTCATCCCTAAAACTATTTGATCTGATATTCTTTCAGTACAACTGAAATATAAATGTAATAAAGTAGAAATTTTTTTTTTTTTTGGTACTGGTGATCGAACTCAGGTCCTTGCGCTTGCGAGGCAGGCGGTGGAACCACTGAGCTAAATCCCCGGCCCAAAGCAGAATTTCTTTCTGAGAATGTACTGGTTGTATATAGTGCTTCTTATTTTAAATTTGCAGGGCAGGGTTTAGGCAGACTTCCGGTTTTACTGTAGTTATAAGCATTAAAAATATATTACTGATTTTGTGTGTAAATATACAGAACATCCAGGATTTTAATCTTCATTAGATTAATTTTTTAAATGTGCCTTGTTTGTTAGTAAGACATCTTGAAACTTTTTAGGTTCGCAGATTTTCTGAGGCATTCTTTTGTTTTGAACATCCAAGAGAAGCCGCCATTGCATATCAAGAACTTCAGTGAGTAACGTTAATATAAAATTAAACTTACTTTTACATATGACATCTCAGATTTTATTAGTGCCACAGTATGCAGTATTTAAAATAGAAAAAATTGAGGGAATTCAGGGTTCAGAATCTCCTTTTTAGTCAAATTGGGTTTAATCTTACGAATTGTTTCACGAAGGCCCCTTGCTTTACACAAAGAAACATAATGTACTTGCGACCCTGCACTGGAAGATTGGAAAGACATGAAGGAACTCTGAGTAGATGGAAATGTTCTGTGTCACGTGTTCATTTGTCAGAAACATACAGCTAGGATTTATATCTTTCAATGCATATAAACTGTTTTCAAAATAAACAAATACCTATAAACAATAGTGTAGGGCTAGGTAGTAAATGTTGAGGTATAGATAAAACAAGAAAGGCATATGTTAATTATTCAGACTGGGTAATAAGTACATGGAGGTTTTTTTAGTATTATTTTGTTTATTTTTATTTGTTTGAAATTTTCCATAAGAAACAGGGTTGTTTTAAAAACTATTTTGTATTGGAAAGTTATCTACCTTGTTTTAAATAGCTATTAATTTTGTCAATAATGCATTAAGTAAAGAAGCCACAGTGGAACAAACATACATACTTTTTTCCCAGTGTTATCAAATAATTTGGGCATTTAGTATTTCTCATATATATATTTACAGCAAATTTGGAAGCTCAGGCAGTAAGTGTAAATATTCACCTTGAAATAACATAAGGAAATATAGGGGAACATAGAAATTAAATAATCTGTCAGCATAATTTTATGTCAATAATTTATCGTCAAGTGATAATTTTCATTTTACTGGTTTTTATCTCTGACTAAAAAATTCTTTGATAAGGTGATATCTTGAAGAAAGATGATAGGAATATTGGGGTAAGAGATGGGGGACAGCAAAGTAGAGTTGGATGTAATTTTTTATTATAATCTGACTTATGAAATATTTTTCAGTGCTCAGAGTCATCTGCAGATGTGCACCGCTATCAAAAATACTTCCTTCTGCAGTTCTCTCCCACCCCTGCCTATTGAATGTAGTGAATTAGATGGAGATCTCAATTCATTACCTATAATCTTTGAAGATAGGTATTTAGATTCAGTTATTGAAGGTAAGTATAATCTAAGATATATAAGCTGCACATATCATTTTCTGTGTATTCTAATATACATAAAATCACTCCCTAGTGTCAATTTTTCCCCTCCAATTTTATTTATTTTTGAAGATATTAGAAAGTTATAGTTAGAAGAAATAATCTTAATCATATGAGTTCTTGTACTTGTTTTAAACCTGAATCTTTTTTTCTTTGGATAAAAGAATTAGATGCACCCTGGATGGGAATTCAGAATCTTCAGAAGTCAGAGTCCAATAGAATGGATAAATATGAGACTGAAGAAAGCTCCGTAGCAGGACTTTCTAGCCCAGAGTTGAAGATCAGACCTGCTGGTGCCTCCAATATTTGGTATACAGAAGGTGAAAAGCAGCTGACAAAACCTCTAAAAGGAAAGGATGAAGAATCAATTAAATCCAAGGTTAAGGTTACTAAGCTCATGAAAACAATGAAACCAGAAAACCCCAAGAAATTAATAAAACAGAACTCTAAAAATTCTGTGGTTTTAGTAAGCTACAAATGTTTGAAAAGCACAGCATCAGATGACCTCACTAAATGCTTTGAAGGTAATCCTTCACATAGTCAGAAGGAAGGTCTGGATCCCACAATATGTGGATATAATTTTGACCCAAAGACCTACATCAGACAGACAAGTAAAAAGGAAGCTAGCTATTTGCCAACTAATACAGAGGGAACTGAACAAAAGTCTCCAGATATTGAAAATACACAGCCAAACCAGTTTGATCCTTTGAACTCTGACAACCTAAATCTTTGTGCAAATTTGTCCATTTCAGGTAAAGTTGATATCTCCCAGGACGATAGTGAAATCACACACGTGGATCACTATCTGGCACCCAGAAGTTCATCAGACGATTGCCATGATCATCAGACAGCTCCATCTTCAGGAGTTAGAACAATTGAAGTTAAGCCCAATAATAAAGATCCTTTCAGTGAAGAGAAGATAACTGTTAAAATGGAACCATGGGCTGAGCTTCGACAAGATGAAATGTTTGTGGACAGTTTACTATCCACCTTTGAGTCCTTAGCCTGTCATGGTAAATCTAAATCTATAGAAACAACACTTGAAAAGGAAGCTTTGCAAGAAGCAAAGTGTCGTTCTATTTGTGAATCATTAGTAAAATTAAGAAGTAATCTACCTGCTCCTTCTACAAAAGAATATCATGTTGTAGTAAGTGGAGATACAATTAAGTTACCAGACACTAATGCCACATATGCCTCATCTAGATTTTCAGATTCAGGTGTCGAAAGCGAACCAAGTTCTTTTGCAACACATCCAAACCTTGATATAGTCTTGGAAACCACACAAGGACAAGGTCCTTACAATAATGAAAGATTATTTCCTCAGCTTTTGATGAAACCTGATGGTAATGTAAAATTTTCATTAGGAAGCCATTGCACTGAGAGTACCAGTGCTTTAAGTGAAATACAGTCATCTTTGACATCTATAAACTCTCTACCTTCTGATGATGAACTGTCACCTGATGAAAATTCTAAGAAATCTGTTGTGCCCGAATGCCATCTAAGCGATAGCAAAACTGTATTAAATCTAGGAACAATTGATTTGCCAAAATATGGTGAGACTAAGAAGTCAAGCAGTATTTTGCAACAGCAGAGTGTTATATTTTCAGAGCATTTGGACAGTGGAACTTTAGCAATCCATTCCTTAAATTCAAGCACTAAAGACCCTTTACAATTTGTTTTTTCAGATAAAAATACTTTCAGTGATGTGGAAAGCATTTGCAGCTCCAAACCTAACTTGGACACTACACGTAAAGGTTCCCAGAGTCCTGATAAATCTACTAACTCTGCAGGAACAGCAATGTTAAATTCAAAACTGATTTGTTTCGGCACTCCTTGTGTTGTTTCAGGTTCTGTTTCTACTAATGCAGAAGTTAGTGAAGATAGAACTGTGGAAAAAAAAAATAGTGATGCATCACATCTCAAACAGATATATTCAGAAGTCCCTACAGTTGAAAGTGAAACTCAGCTGGACACAAGTGACCCTTTTTCAGCCAGTACGGATGTGGTAAAGCAAGGGCTTGTGGAAAATTACTTTGGTTCTCAGAGCATTACAGATATTTCTGACACATGTGATGTTAGCTACAGCAGTTCAGTTAGCCCTCAGAAGGAAATTTACAAAAAGGAAATTAGTAATCTTCAGCAAGAACAGGGTAAAGAGGATGTGGAGGAAGAACAGGATCAACAAATGGTTCAAAATGGGTATTATGAAGAAACAGATTGTCCAGCTTTGGATGGAACAATAAATGCCCACTACACCAGCAGAGATGCACTAGCAGAAGAAAGGCTTACAAAATCAGAGAAAATAAAGAGTGACTATTTGAGGGATGGTATAAATATGCCTACTGTTTGTACTTCCGGGTGTTTGTCCTTCCCATCTGCACCACGAGAGTCTCCTTGTAGTATGAAATATTCTTCTAAAAGTAAATTTGATGCCATTACAAAACAGCCAAGCAGCATTTCTTACAACTTTACTTCTTCAGTTTCCTGGTATGAGAATTCGCCAAAACCTCAGATACAAGCGTAAGTAATGAAGCTCAATAGTATATGCCACTAAATATATATAGCACATCAGAAATAGTGCTGAAGGGCTGAATATGTATTTTGTTCTCTAGTTTCTGTAGTAGAAAAAGTGCACCTTTGATTATCTAAAATGAGTGCATTATACCTTTTGATGGACACACCTGTAGTTTCCAAATGATTGTCCCATTCTGTAGGCTAAATATTCCTTATATAATGTACCATTGGTAATTTTATTAGCATGGAATAATTGAAGTTAAACAAACCCCTTTTTCATCAGTATTTCATTTCTCCTCCATTAACTCCCAGAAAAAAAAAAGCTAGGTTTCATAAGTATATTTAAGAAATAAGGACAATAATAAGTAAATGAATAACACGTTATATAGAAATCACTTAAACCTACCAGACATGTATTACCACAGCTAAGTTAGTGGCTTTGAGAATTGAGATTCCATAGACCAGTAAAATAGCCAGAAAAATTAGAAAATGAAATAGGTTTACTAGTATGCACTGGTTCTCAAAATATTCTACTGCTACACTCCAGATGGAATCATAATCTCTGGGGTACATGAAGTCTCGGCCTGTGTACAGTAGACATTCTCAATTCACAGATTATTCTGATGTATACATAAACTGAAGATCTCTAGACCCTAAGCTAGAAACCAGTGAGAGAACAATACAAAATGCCAACAGACCAAAGATTATGCTACCTGCTAAGTACCTCACACTTTCTGAATTGTCAGAGAGCAAAGGTTTATGTCTTCATCTAGTGCAGTGATGGCGAACCTTTTAGAGCTTTTAATGATATAAACAGCTCACTGTGGCACATGTGCCATAGGTTCACCACCATTGACCTAGTATATCTTACACACTTTAGTTTCTTTACCTTCTTTGAGTTACACTTTTTATTGATCAAAATTGTGTAGTGTTAGTAGTTAATCATTTGATCTTTGCAGTCCTGAAGCTGGTTAGAATTGTCAGTCATTCCAAATGAGTATGTTACCAATTACATTTAGTCAGATATCCCTTTTGGTTCTGCTCCTTCTTATTGGCAATTTTAGAGAAAAATTCAAATAACCTAAGCTAGTAAATAACCACCATTCTCACCATTACATTTTGGTTAAAATGGAAAAAAAGAAGATCTGATTACATGATAAACTTCAGATTTTCTTTTTCTAATACCTCCCTAGATTTTGTATACATACAATATTAAATACTACAGAAAACATAACCACTGCTAATATGATTCGATTTCAAGTTTAAAAGAATATTTTAAGTGATTTCAGGCTTAATGTTTTTATTATATTTGATTAGAATTTATAGTAAAAATGGCAAAGAAAATTATCCTCTGATCTTAAATCATTTTGGCTATACCACATATTTTTCTGATTTCCAAACCGAAGATTGCTGTTTCTTCCTCTGCTTTTCTCTGAATTCAAGAAGTTGTCTTTTTGGTTCCAGAGCTGAGTGTGATCCTTCATAAAGAGTATCTTTATAATATTTTACTTTAGCTTTCTTCAGGCAAAAGAAGAACTGAAGCAACTCAAACTCCCCGGGTTCATGTACAGTGATGTCCCTCTGCTGGCGTCCTCAGTGCCATATTTCAGCATGGAAGAAGAGGCTGTGTCTGAGGGTGGGGTGCATCTCATCGTCTGTGTGCACGGCTTAGACGGTAGGTGGCATCTGTCGGTGTAAAAGCCACTCATTGTGTTTGCTTTTCCTCATAGAACTCATTTAGTTTTCTTTAATTTTTGAACAAAAAATTTTAATTGTATTATTTAATATTAAATACATTTTAAAGAAGAAATATGCTTAAGTTGCATTTTCTCTTTAAATGACACTCATATGCTAACACTTGTTTATTTTTTTTATTTTTCTGTCTCCTCTTTCATTGTTGGTTTTGTCACCATCACCTCACAGCAATCATTTCATCTCCCTTTAAGTCTTCCTGCTTTTGTTAGCTAGCTGCTTAAACCTTATGAATTATGAAAGTCAATATTCTAAGAAATTAAAGTTGATTATTAAGGTATCCATTAAAGTCTAATTTATTGGTTTTCATACTGTGGCTTTTTGACAGCTATTTTGGTTACTTAGCAGTTTTGTGGGGGTTTTTTATTTGTTCTGTTTTGTTTTGTTTAGATATAGAAACTTAGAAAAAGCAAAATATTTCTAGACTAACAGTATTACTCTATTATAATGTGTTTCTGTAACAATTAGCTGGACTTTATGGTTATTAAAATACTAAACAAAGGTCTTTACTACTAAATACTCATGAAATTGAACAGTATTTTTTCAAAAAAAGAAAAGCAGAGACATGTGAAACCTTCAATACTAACCTTTTTTTCCTCCCTAATAAAATTTTCAAAGAATTATCTCCCAAGGAAGATTTCTTGTCACAGTAGAATCTCTGGAAAATTCTTCTTTGAAACTTCCAAGAAACAGATTATTTGTATGTTACATAGTTTGTTCCAGAACAATAGAGAAGAAAAGATAGAACACAGCCCATTCTTAAAGTTACCTAACCTTGATATCACCTGTGGTAACAATATCACACCAATAACCCCTCAAAACAATAGACCAATCTAACACAAATATGTTTAATAAAACGCTACCAAATAGAATCAGTATGTCAAAAGTTACTACAACAAATAAGGCTTCATTCCCAGAATGTAAAGACAATTAAATATTTAAAAAATTTATTAACAATATGTACATCAGCAAATAACTAAGAAACTATTGCTAATACTTAGTATCCATTCCCAATTATGACATCTATGCACCAAACATTAAATCTTAAGTAGAAATAGATTCTGGCTTATTAATGTGTTTAAACATTGTATTTCCGGGCCATGTAAAACTTAATAATGAAATACTAGAGGTGTGCATTTTAAATCAGAACTGAAACAGTTATCTGTCAATGCATGAATCATGTATTTAAAAGATAAATATTGGAAAGGTAATATAAAAACTCATAATGGATAGTAACATGCTTATATTGCTAGTAAACCAAAAGACTAAAAATACACTAATTTTTAAAGACAGTGTTTATATTTATATATCATATCTTTATTATAAACATGTCTGTAGACATCTTTTGAGTTAATAATTATTAAAATAAACTATTTTAGGTATTGAAATATATTTGTATTTCTTCAGTCTGTACCATTACCATCAAAGGAAAGTCAACACATTCAAACTAAAATGTTCTCAAGTTTGGTTAAATGACCATCTATAGTGGCAGTGATAAGAAGTCAGTTACACCCAAGTGATGTGCTGACAGTTTGTAAACAAATATACTCTTAGGTGGAAAAGTGAAAGCATCAGTGTGACCAAAACTTCTTAAGAAGCAAACTGTTAAAAAAAAAACTTGTCTGGCCTACAGAAATTGGTTTTGGCATAAAAATTGAGAACTCTTCATTTCAGAGTTCATTATCTAGTCACAAATATCATGGACCATAAACTTTTCTCTGAAAGCTATAATAATGCACAGTGGTACTCTTTGTACCTTTTGCAGTACTTTATTTTATTCTTTAAACATCATTTTTTAAATTTTCTAGGTAACAGTGCAGATCTCCGATTGGTAAAAACTTACATTGAACTTGGGCTGCCTGGAGGACGAATTGATTTTCTAATGTCTGAGAGAAATCAGGTACAGTATGGCAGTGTTTTCAGTGAAAGCTACCAGTTTTGTACTAGCTTCTACTAAATACTTGTTTGCTACAAAATGCTTGTGGTATTAGAAATCATTTTTCTGAGTTCTATGAAATTTAACATAAGTGTATATATAAAGTATATATGATTTACGTTTTGACTTATGTGTTCCCTTCACATATGAAAGAAACATTGAGAATTTCATGTTTCTGTACAAATATTTAAGCCATTCTAATTAGACTTATGCTTAATATTGGAATTGGGCTACACAACTAAATGAAGCAAGTTTTATATACTGGACATTTTTAACAGTTTTAAATATTGAACATTCTTTCCCTAGAAACATTTTGCTCATTTTAATATAATGAATATTCCATCCATTAACTTCTCTAAGAACCATTGGAATTAAACATATTCTCAATACCTAAATTAAAACAATATTTATTTTCAGTTAGTTTCTCTTGTGATTAAACATTTAAATATGTAATACATCTTTTTTACTTTCATTTAGAATGATACTTTTGCTGATTTTGATAGCATGACTGATCGCCTTTTGGATGAGATAATACAATATATTCAGATATATAGTCTAACGGTTTCAAAAATAAGGTAACTTCTATATTACACAATTTATTTTTATATTCCTGGGAATTAGAGAAACTAAACAATTCATGGTTGTGTTATCCTAACCTGAAATACAGGAAAGTATAGCTTGAATTAATTTAAGAGAAAATAAATTAAAAGATTTTAAGGGAAGACATTATGTGATTTCATTTATATGATATGTCCTAAAAGAACAAGTCTGTAAGAGACAGAAAGTAGGTTAGTGGTTGTACATATTTTACTTGTGCCATGAAAATACTGCTAGTCAAAAACTTGTCCAAAGGTTCCCAACACAGGAATTATAGATGTATGTTTGAGGAGCCAGAAATGCTAATTACCCTGATTTGATCATTACATATTGCTTTGAATTATCACTCTCCCACATAAATACATACAAATATTATGTATGAATTAAATTTTTTTAAATTATTTTTTTCTTAACTCATTCAACTTTGAAATTTAGACCAGAGTATAAGGTAACTTGTCTTTTATGAGTAGAATTTCATTTATAAGTACAAAAACATTTTTTTGAAATAATGACTTAGTCTATGGCCAGACCACCCTGAACCCGCCCAATCTCATCTGAAATAATGACTTAACAAATAAATTTATTTGTGTGCCTCCGGAGGAAAACCTATAATCTAGTCATATTATTATTTGTTTTGTTTTGTTTTGTTTTCCGGTACTGGGGATCAAACTCAGGACCTCGCAGTTGCAAGGCAGGCGCAGTGCCACTGAGCTAAATCCCCGGCCCAGTCATATTATTATTTTTAAAATGTCTTTACATCTCTGCAGTTACAAACTTTGATAAGTAAAAATTTTCTGGTAAATACTTTTTTTCTATAAACATTTAAATTTATAATAGAGATCTTTCTATATTCTCTCATTTTCCTCTTTAAAATGTTAAGTGATACTATTTAAAGTATGAAACTACAATTTTAGAACATACTAGAAAATTTTACATTGTTAGTATTTCATGTCTGTATAGAGTATCAACTTTGATTTTTGTTTTTAAGAGTAATATTATGGGAGAAATGTCTTTTTCCTCTTACAGCTTTATTGGACATTCATTGGGCAATTTAATAATCCGTTCTGTGCTCACGAGGCCGAGGTTTAAGTATTACCTCAGCAGACTCCATACTTTTCTGTCTCTTTCTGGACCTCACCTTGGCACACTCTACAACAGCAGCACCCTTGTTAATACAGGTAAAAGAGTTCATTGTTCTGGGTAAAAAATACGGCATAGGCAAGAAATTTAAGTTAAAATCTAGTATTATTGATATTTATTTTAAAGCCAACTTGTCACATGATTGGAATTTCATGAAACAAAAGATGTACGTAATTTTGTATTTTATTATGTACATGAAATAAGTTGATAAAATTTATTTCAGAAAGTAATCTCATATTGAGGTGCTATTTATCAAAAGTCATAAGACAGCTGGATGCAGTGGCATATACCCGTAATCCCAGCTTCTTGAGAAGCTGAGGCGGGAGGATTACAAGTTTGAGGCCAGCCTGGGCAATTTATCAACATCCTGTCTCACAAATAAAATGGAAAGGACTTGGGAGAAGGTGTAATTGAACATGCCTATAATTCCACTATTATGGTAGCCTTGGGTAGGAGGATCACAAATTCAAGCCCAGCCTGGGAGACTTAACAGTACCCTGTCTCAGAATTTTAAAAAGGGCTGGGGATATAGTTCAGACCAATGGCCTTGGGTTTAATCTTCAGTGCCTCAGAAAGACAAAAAGTGGGGATAGGGAATGCTGGGGATGTAGCCCAGTGTTGGAGTATTTGCCTACCTTGCTGCAGGCTCAGTTCAGTCCCCAGTACTGTAAAACTAAAGTCACGAGAACATTTTACCCTTTTTTCATTAAACTTCAAATATTTTCAGTACATATTTATCTTATAAACTAATCTGTCATTCTATTATTTGAACAGATAAGTATATTTAATATATAGCTATAAAACATTTTATTTAGAATGTTAGCTTTTTATTTTGATTTGGTAAGCAATTAAAGGTTAAGAAAATAATTTGTAAGAAATTAATTAAGAATTTCTAAAGAAATTAAATTGAAAGTTAAGACCCTAATTTTAGTTAGTTGAAATATTCTTATTGAGAAAAATCTAGTAATTGATTTGCCTGGGACTTGCCTTGGTTTATCCCTTAGATTTTTAATAGCTCATTTTTTTTTTTTTTTTTTGGTACCGGGGATCGAACTTGGGTCCTTGAGCTTGCACAGCAGGCATTGAAACCACTAAGCTAAATCCCCGGCCCAATAGCTCATATGTTAGTTGATTGGTTGCCATTGTAAATAAAATTAGATTTGTCTCTTTTAAAAAATTTGTTTTTTCTTTTTTCTTTATTTTGAGACACTGCTGTGTAGTTCAGACTGGCCTTGAACTCACTATGTAGCCCAGGCTGGGCTTGAACTTGTGGTGATCCTCCTGCCTCACCCTCCCAAGTGCTAGGATTACAGGCATGCACCACCATGCCCAGCTTTTTTCATTTATTCTTTACACTCTTACTTCTGTTTTCTTTTCTACCTCCCTTTATTGCTGTACCTTACCTATTTCCTTTGTATCTCATTTCAAATTAGTAATTTCAAAGCACAGCCAATTCTATATTTGTAGTTTCAGAAAGAGAATGTGACAAAAGTGAAATCATTAAATGGTATGATATAAAATCAACATGAAAGGGATGTGGTACAGTACTTTGAATTTCTTCACTAACCTTTTTCTCAGATGTACTTACAGCTATCAGATTTAATGAATTAAAGAGGATTTTCCCCCTTTCTTCCTCTTTTGTCCTAATTGTAGAAGCAAAGAATGTGAAATGAATATTCCACAGTCTTGAAAACAAATTCCAAAATGATTGAGGTTTTATTTAATTTCTATAAGAGGAAGATGTGTAATTATGCATTATTGATAATACAAAGATGTATAATTAAAAATGAAACTTAAATTATATTCACCTGCTATTAAAAACATTAACCAATTATTCATTCTAAGAGTTCATCTTTTATATTAGTCTGCTATACCTGAACTGTAATTATCTATAGACTGAACACTCAATGCTTAGGCATCTGGATCTACTCCTGTGTTTGAAGTTCTTCTTCTGTTTCCTTATAAATTAAATGTAGTACATCTATAGGTACACGCTACTCACATTTGTCCTTCATAAGCTATGATCTGTCTCATTACTGAATGTGATAGAAATAGTGAGCTCTTCACTAACCACCATCAACCCATAGTTGACCTATGCATCTTTATTTATGTTTGGATTTGTTATCAGAAAGTGGAAATATTTTGCACATTATTTTTATTGGCCCACAAAATGTAAATTGAAGAGATGTCATTTTTGAAGTGAAATATAGAAATAATAATTTTGGTATATGTTACTGTATATTTCCATTTATACTCATATTATATATAACTCTCTAGGTCTCTGGTTTATGCAGAAATGGAAAAAATCAGGTTCCCTGTTGCAATTGACATGTCGAGATCACTCAGACCCTCGCCAAACATTTTTGTATAAGCTTAGTAATAAAGCAGGTAAGTATCCACTAACAGTTTGGAAAATACGCACATGAAAACTTTTTCTGAATAAACCTTCAGCAAATAAATTGACAAGATATCTTCTGGTGATTAAAAAGTATCATTCTCCTATAATTTCATAGCAGTGAAATAGCAGGCTCAAAACTGAGACTAAGCAGTTGAAAGAATAGTTTTTAAATGTTTTTATGATTGTATTTATCTTTTAGGTGCTGTAGCTACTTTTAAATTATCCTAAAAATGTTATTGTTATTCAATACCAGTTATGTTAGTCTCTATTCTTTAACAAGGCCTTTGCATGTCGTATCCCAGTTCTCAACTCTTAGTAAACTATGTTTTTCTACCTATTTCAAAAATTTCTGATAAATGTCCAAAACCAGACTATTAATAGTTGAGCTTTGGGGCCGGGGATTTAGCTCAGTGGTTTCGTCGCCTGCTGCACAAGCGCAAGGACACGAGTTCGATCCCCGGTACCAAGAAGTTGTTTAGACTCTTCCTCACTCTTCTTCCCATGTCTACTATATTACCAAGTCTAAAAACATTCAGCTTTCTTAGTAACCGAATATTTCTGTTCTTTGGCACTGCCTTAGGTCATCCTTATCACTTTACAGACTATTGCTTTTTCCTCCAAACTGGTTACCTTCCTTCTGTGTCCCCTTCTACCTAATCTCATTTCCTCATTAGGTCAAATGAGCACCCAAAAATTAAATCAGAGAATACCGGGCCTGTTTGAAATCCTTCATGCTGTTTTGTAGTATTCAGGACAAAATTCATATTCCATGTATGAGGGGATCGAGCATGTTATATTGTGAATCCCGCTGGCCTCCTGTTTTCCTTCCTCTTTCCATGCACACCCTTCTGTCTATTACTGCCACCATGGTCTGAAACTCCATACTTCCACCCATGTTTTTTCTGCTCATGTATTTTTTTTTTTTTTAGTTCTTTTATTGGTACATTTTAGGTATACAATTCGTTTACATTTATCATTGGGTGTTTGTACCTGTACATGATATATCTTGGTTCTCCCCCCCCCCTTTACCTGTGCACCCTTCACCCCCTCCGCCCTTCCCTATTTACATAGATTTCATTTCCATTTTTTTTTCTTTTCTCATAGTTTTTCCTTTCCCCTTCCCCTCCCTTCACTCCTTCATCTTTGGACCTTTTTTCCTGTTTCAGATTATCAGTTATTCATTTTAATCATTTTAACCCTTGTTTACACTATCAGTTTCTCACACTAGTGAAACTATTAGGTATTTACACATATGTGTCCTATTTATTTCACTTAAGAGTATGGCTTCGATATGCATCCATTTAGCTATAAATGACTCTAGTTTTTCATTCTTTATGGCTGAGTAGTACTCCAGTTTATAAAAAAACCACATTTTCTTTATCCAGTTTCCAGTTGATGTGCACTTGGGCTGCTTCCAAGCTTTACCTATTACAAACTGTGCCGCTAAGAACATGGGTGCACATATATCACTGTAGTATGATTCTTTTAATTCTTTTGGGAAGATACCCAGCAGGGGAATAGCTGGGTCAAATGGGACCTCTAGCCCTAGTTCTTTGAGGTATCTCCATACTGACTTCCACAGTGATTGCACCAGTCTGCACTCCCACCAGCAATGGAGAAAGGGTTCCTCTCTCCCCACAGCCCCGCCAGCATTTGTTATTTGTTAATTTCTTGATAGCAGCCATTCTTTGTGGGGTGAGGTGGAATCTCAGTGTTGTTTTCATCTGCATCTTCTGTCATGTATTTATCCTTTTTTGAGTTAATGTTCTTCATGTCCTAAAATTAAACTCAAATATCACCTGCTATCAAATGGTTTTCTTGATGTCCTGTGTGATCTACTGTTCCTCTGCTCTCAGCTACCTCATATATACCTTTATATCCCAAACCTGTGTCTCCAGGACTGACCTCAGTAGTGAATTTCAATCCTCATTTGCCTGCTAGATGTCTCTACATAGCAAACTAATCTCTTTCAGGCTGAACATACGATCTTTTGCTAGCTATTCTTTTTTTGGTACGTTTGCAGTGCACAATTTAAAAAAGCTTTATTTGCATTTTTGTCTTCAGTTTTTTTTTTTTCCCCATCCGCTTTCCCTCCCCCTCCATCCCTATTCTTTAAAATGATGCTCTGTCCTCTAAATTACTGGTTTGGAACACCCAAGAGTCATCTTCGATTGTCCCTACTTTGCTTCTGCTGCCCCAAGATTGTTCATATTATCTTTGAATTCCCATAGCACTACATACAAACTTCTTTCATCATACTCATGATACTTTGTCTCATGTCAGTCATTTATATTTCTTAACCTCCTTTTCTTAAATAGGATCTGTTGTGACACCTCTTTCCCATTTCTCCCATACATATTTAATATTTACTGTAGTTCTTCCTAGTAGACATTCAGTATATACCCATTGCATTGATGAGTGAATCAATGGATTATCTTTACATTTTTCAGTATCTAAAGGCAGTTCCGATACCACATACTAAGATAGACAAAATCAGATACAATGTATATATAGTTCTCATGTGAGAAAAGCTTCCTGACACTAGCTAGAACCATTGTGTGTAGCTTAGGATTTATATCACTGCTGACAGGTCGAGAAATAGGGTAAAAGCCAAACTGAACCTAAATGTTCCCTTAGACAAAGCATGTGTTCCATAGGCTCCTGTGGTCCCAGGTCCTGGGGAAGCTGAAGGCAGGAGAATCACCCGAGTCCAGTATTTCCAGACCATCAGTGCAGCACGAACCCGTCTTCAGTGTTCATTTATATATTAATATAATGAAAAATAATAACACACATGTGGCACATTATTACGAGTTAGCTTTTATAACCCTCGGAGATAGGAACACTGCCCAGACTTTGCAGGTGAGGACTCTGAAGCACAAAGAGGTTGAATGGCTTGCCCAAGGTCATAAAGCTAGTAAGTGATTGCTGGTCAAAGCACATCATGGTAAGACAATAGTGTACTGTGTATTTTCTAGAACTTTAGAAGCTACTTCTAATTTCAGTTTTAAATATCAACAAATTTTTATCAATTGATTTTAAAATTTTAATAACAGGTTAAAGGAAGTCTTTTGAACAATGATTTTTTTTCTTCATTGTTTTTTGTTTTGTTTTTTGTCTAGCCAATTATAAGAAATAGTTTCTAGGAGGTTGCTAGACTGGCAGAGCAAATACAACATAAAAATATGTAGGTTCGCACTAGAAACATAAACAGAGCAAAGGAAAAGAGCACATTAATCAATTTGCTTAACTAATATGCTCTTTTCAAGCATTTTTAAATAATCAAACATAATCATTTCTCTTTTATATTTTATTCTACTAAAGCTACACCAGGCATGGTGGCACACACATGTGACTGCAGGGACCCCAGTGTTCAAGAGGCTGAGGTATGAGGATCGCCATGAGTTCAAGGCCAGCTTGGGGTACATAGTGAGTTCCAGGGCAGCCTGAACTGCATAGGAAGACCCAGTCTCAAAAACAAACAAAAAATCTACAATGTCTCAGTTGTCCTGTTATGATTATTACTTCAGTTTCTTCTGAGCAGCTAATTTCCCATTCTCTTGGAAAAGCTTAAAATTACCTTTCTAAATCAAAATTCAACCTTTTTCCTTTTTTTATGTAAGGAAAGCTCCCAGCTGTGAACCTGCGTTTTGAAATAGTTTTTTTCTCTGCAAATTTTTGGCTTTCCTTAACTGAAAGTTATCCAAAAAAAAAAAGTTATTCATTATCATTAACTGAAGAAAACATTTTAAAAACCTAAAATGATTTATATGATTTCTGAAACAATCAAATAAACTATTTTTTATAAAAATATATTTATTAGGTATGATACTGCTTTTTTCATTTTATATACGTAATAGATCTGGTGAAGAGTCACAGAAATGTTACATTTTAAACGAAAGTATCTGGGCCGGGGATTTAGCTCAGTGGTTCTGCCACCTGCCTTGCAAGTGCAAGGTCCTGAGTTCAATCTGCAGTACCAAAAAAAAAGAAAAAGAAAGTATCTTTTTGATGAAGATATTATAATTATAAACATTAAGCAAATTCATATGGAAATTTTTTTTTTTTTGCTACTAGGAATTGAACCCAGGATCCTACACATGCTAAATAAGTACTCTACAACAGGGCAACACTTCTAGACTGTTTTTGAGGGGGGTATTTTTTTTAATTTTTGAGACAGGGCCTTGCCAAGTTCCCCAGGCTGGCCTCAAATTTATGATCCTCCTGCTTGTCAGTTCCCAAGTATCTGAGATTACAGGCATGTAGCACTGTACTTGGCTTAGAGCAAATTTTCACAGACACACACACACACATTCTGCAAGCTTGCTGATAGAACATATATATAATGTTCACAATATAGTGTGGATATTAACATCTCATCATTGAGTATCAAGGGAAAGAAGATGAAGGACCTAAAGAGATATGGAGGAAATGACTACAGAGAGCAGCTAAGGACACCAGTGCTGAAGTAGGCAAGATTACTAGGGCAGAGAGAAGGGATCGTGGACACCATTGCATTCCATGATCGGGGCTCAAAAATAGCCAAATAACAATGTGTCCATTAATAGAATTTCAAAAGCAAATTGTCTTTTAAAATCTACATAAAAGCATCTATTTAGAGTCTCTACCAGCTATTGAATTCTGACAACTAAAGTATAATGATTAAAGAAGTGTCCTGCTGTGCTGCTGTGGCACAGATCATCTTTTTTCCAGATTAGAGTTTAATAATAGGTATCACTTCTGATTTATAAATAACACTTATATCCTGTTTCTCTAAGTGCGGGAAGGAATCAACAACAGCCAACATTTTTTAAAGAAGCAAATGCTCTCAAATGTATTTAAAATAAATAAGAATAGTCCAGTATTGTTCAGAATATGTCAGGTTTTTGTTTGTTTTGTTTTGTTTTTGTTTTGTTCTTTTGGTTTTTTCAGACAGTCTTGCTATGAGGTTTAGGCTGGCCTTGAACTCACTGTGTAGCCCAGGCTGGCC